AATTTTGGTCATATAAAATTGTTGTTAAAAGTCCTGCTACAGAATAAAAGTCCTTATTTGTCATCTTTCCCTTTTGTCTTTCGGTACACCATCTCTCGGAAACTGGCTAGAATCTTAGTCTCTCTCTTCCGTCTCTCTTCTTGGTTAAAGGATGCAAGGGCTCTCTTCTCATCAGCACTGTAGATCTGGTTCTCTTTACGCAGTCGTACAGCCTCCATTCTGCGATGCCTGCTACCACTCATAACGTAACCTGAGCATTCAAATGAAGCAATCTCTTCACTCGTCAGCCCAATTTCACCTCTTCGTGGGATACGCTTCCCAGCTTTTACATACTCAGCCATAGCTGCACCTTCACCTGGAAGCAGAGCATGGCCATAGTTCAAAGGTTTCCCATCTTGAGAGGTGTGTATTACAGGTGCCTCAGGACCTATCAGATCCATGTTATCTGCAATTTTTGACCGCTCAATCCACATATCTTCTGGCAACTCCCCTTCCGAATCCTTATAGCTTGAGTCACTGGATTCTTGTTTAGTCTTTTTAGTCTTCTGTTTCTTGGGGTTTTTAGCTCTGTGTTTCTTTCTCTTCTCTTTCTTCTTGGCTTTTTTTGCTCTCTTTTTATCATCATCAGAGGTAGAATTAGTGTCGGAGTCTAAATTACTGTCAGGATTATCGGAATATTTCCTATGTTTTCTTTTGGACTTTTTTTTTCTTTTTTTCTTATTTTTTGAATGACTGGCCTTTTCCTTTTTCTTTTTTTCTTGGGAGCTGGCATTTGAACTGCTGCTCTTCTTAGTCTTTATCTCTTCATCCTCAACTGGGGTGTGTTCATCAGAATCTGGCTCAGGAAACTTGGGAGACAGCCCCCACACCTCAGGAGCTCCCAACTCCCCAATTCGTTCTCTCTCTCTCAGCCTCCTCTGTCGATAGATCTCCTCCTTCTCATAGTCTTCCGTCCACTGCCGGTCGTCCGCATAGTGGTGGTGATAGTAACGGTGTCCGCCATAGTAAATGGAAGAAGAGGACGAGTAGGCGTAATTGCAGAATCCGGAGGGCCGTTCTCGGGACCCAGAGCGGCTGAGGGGGTAAGGAGTGCCAACGCCCGACTCACCCCACGGAGGCCGGAGGCCCTCGCGGCCGCGGGAGTAAGAGTGACAACGGCCGCCCCATGGAGAGCGTCTAGCCTGAGCGGACGACGGGCTCCTCGACGAGCTGCCTCGCCGTTTCCGAGAGCCCGAGGTGTCCTCGGGATAGCGGGACCGGGACACTGGCGCCATTGCCCCCGCTTTCACAGAGGCGGTTACTACAGAGACGCCGGCTGGCCTGAGAATCCCGCCCACCCGGTGCGCTAGCAACTGGTCGGGAGCACGACTTCCGCTTCCGGCCGGTTGCCACGTGAAGACCCAATCAGCATGTGGGCTGTGAGGGCCCTGCTTTAGCTGAGGCTGCGTGGAGGCCTCTTCTCCAGAGTGGAAGAAGCGGGTACAGTCCCGCCTGTTTTCAGGATTTACAGTCCCCATCCTGAGCCTTGTGGGAACACAGAGAAATTCGCATCAGTGAACCCCTCTACTTCAAACACTCCATTCTCTACCTGATTATCTGCCTTCAACCAGCTTGATGGTTACCTTTCTCTCCTCTCATACTCATTTTTACCCCTTTGTGAAGTTTCCCTACTTCTCACCTTCTCTTGTTTACCCCTTAAAAAAGGAGTTTGTCCACCATCTTCATGGCAAAGCTACCTGTTAAGGACTACCAAATCCCACTTGGAAGCAAAAAACAGAATTTTTTTTAAATCAAAATTTGAGTTCAGCCTAAACATCGCATCAACAAAAGAGAGAGCAAAAACCACATGATCATCTCAATAGATATAGAAAAAATTTTTCATAAAATTCAACATCCATACATGATAAAAACTCTTACCAAAGTGGGTAGAGAGAGAATATACTTCAACATAATAAAAGCTATTTATGACAAACCCACAGCGAACATAATAGGCAATGGTGAAAAATTGAAAGCCTTCCTGCTAAAATCTGGACAAGATAAGGATACCCACTCTCACCACTGCTATTCAACACAGTATTGTAAGTCCCAACTACAGCAACCAGGCAAGAAAAAGAAATAAAAGGGATCCAAATTGGAAGGGAAGAGGTAAAATTGTCACTATATACAGATGACATGATGCCATATATAGAAAACCCTAAAGACTCCACACAAAAAATGCTAGAGCTGATAAACAAATTCAGCAAGGTAGCAGGATACAAGACTGATACACAGAGATCTGTTGCATTTCTTTACACTAACAATAAAATATCAAAAAAAGGAAAGAAAAAAAATCCCTTTTAAAAATCACAACAAAAAATAAAATAAAATACTTAGGAATATCACCACCTTGACCAAGGAGGTGAGACTTACAGGCTGAGAATTATAAAAAATTGATAAAGGATGTTAAAGGTGATTTAAAGAAATGGAAAGATATCCTATGCTCTTGAATTGGAAGAATTAATATTGTTAAAATTGCTATACTACCTAAAGCAATCTATAGATTTAATGACAGCCCTATCCAATTACCCAGGACCCTTTCCACAGAACTAGAACAAATAATGCTAAAATTTATATGGAATCACAAAAGACCCAGAATTTCCAAAGCAATACTGAAGGAAAAGGAAGCTGGAAACATAACCCTCCCAGACTTCAGACAATACTACAAAGCTACAGTAATCAAAACAGTATGGTACTGACACAAAAACAGGCATATGGATCAATGGAACAGAATAGAGAAGCCAGAAATAAATGCAATTTTAACAAAGAAGGCAAATATATACAACGGAGAAAAGACAGTATCTTTGGCAAGTGGTATTGGGAAAGCTGGACAGCCACCTGTAAATCAATGAAGTTAAAACACTCCTTCACACAACACACAAAAATAAACTCAAAATGGCTTAAAGACTTAAATATAAGACATGACACCATAAAACTCCTAGAAGAGAACATAGGCAAAACATTCTCTGACATAAATCACAGCAGTGTTTTAAGTCAGTCTCCCAAGACAATAGAAATAAAAGCAAAAATAAGCAAATAGGACCTAATCAAACTTACAAGCTTTTGCATAGCAAAGGAAATCATAAACAAAATGATAAGACAACCTACAGACTGGGAGAAAATATTTGCAAATAAAATGACTGATAAGAGCTTAATTTCCAGAATATACAAACAGCTCATAAACTCAATAACAAACAAAACAAACAACCCAATCAAAAAATGGGCAGAAGAGCTAAACAGACATTTCTACAATGAAGACACACAGATGGCCAATAGGCACATGAAAAGATGTTTAATATCGTTAATTATCAGAGAAATGCAAATCAAAACTGCTATGAGGTATCACCTCACATGGTCAGAATGGCCATCACTAAAAAGTCCACAAATGACAACTGTTAGAGAGGGTGTGGAGGAATGCAACCCTTCTATACTGTTGATGGGAATGTAAATTGGTGCAGCCACTATGGAAAACAGTATGAAGATTCCTTAAGAAGCTAAAAACAGAGTTAACATATGATCCAGTAATCCCAGTCCTGGGCATACATCTGGAGAAAACTCTAATCTGAAGTTACATGCACCCCAATATTCGTAGCAGCACTATTGACGATAGCCGAGACATAGAAGCAACCTAAGTGTCTATCAACAGATGATTGGATAAAGAAGGCGTGGTATATATGTACAATGGAATTCTACTCAGCCATAGATATGAGATAATGTCATTTGCAGCAATATGGGTGGACCTAGAGATTATCATGCTAACTGAAGTAATTTAGGCAGAGAAAGACAAATATCATATAATATCACTTTTATGTGGAATCTTTAAAAGTGACACAAATGAACTTATTTACAAAACAGAAACAGACAGACATAGAAAACAAACTTATGATTGTCAAAGGGGAAAGTGGGGGAAGGGATAAATTAGGAGTTTGGGATTAGTAGATACAAACTACTATATTTAAACTAGGTAAACAACAAGGTCCTGCTGTATGCCACAGGGAAATATATTCAGTATCATATAATAACCTGTAATGAAAAAGAATACGAAAAAGACTATATATAGTATAACTGAATCTCTCTGCTGTACACTAGAAATTAAAATTGTAAATCAACTATACTAAAAAAAAGGTACTTGAATTGCATTCTGCTGAACTGCAAAATGAGGGAGGCTTATTTAGGTAAAAACCACAGAGTTATATAAATTGTAAAGAATTAGGATTGGAGTTGGCACGAAGTAAGGGTACTTGTTAAGCAAGAATTGGTTAGGGTTCAAAATAGACGCATAGTTACAAGGGGAGACCTCAAGACCAGAAAGTTGTGGCTAGCAGCTACCAGCAGGTATTATTTTGCGAATAGCTGGTGGTGCCCTTGGAGTTTGATATAGTTCAGAAAATTCAAGTTCCCAGTGATATAGGAACATGTCTGAAACCACATCCACAATGGCGACCCAGTTCTAATTTGGATGTCTGAACCACAGTTTCATATCTTGTCAGAACAAAGAAGACACGTCAAACATGACAGGGGTATATTCCTTCAAGCTTTCAAAAGAGACAGATTAGCACATACACAGCAAGTCAGCACGACCTTGATTCTGGGAAAGGACCCTCTTCTTCAAAGGAGTAACAGCACTAACATATAGGAAAGGGGTCATTTATTTCTATCCTCAGTAAATGCATTCTTTTTTTTTTAATGGTTAAAGCAGATGTACATCGTGTAAGTCAGAATGACTTCCCTGTATCTCAATAGGTAAACATTTCTTCCATCACCATCTACTATTACTATCCTCATTTATAGACTGGGAAAGTCAGGCACAGAAAGGTTAAGTAATTTACGAAAGTCACTCAGCTAGTAAGCCAGGAATACAAACCCAGGTAACTTGGCTTGAGAGTCTATAGATCTAACTGCTATGCTAGACCATAAATGAGGGCTGGGAAGAAACAAGAAGAAAGAAAGCAGGAGATCATGTGGTCCCTGATGCCACTAGATGTCCCTGATGTTCCTAGTGCCAGAACACTAGAGTGTTCTGGAAGTGGGGAGCCTGGGAAGCCTGAAAGCCTGAGAAGAAGCCATGGAAAATAGAAAGTGGTACCTGTTTGGGGGGAGGCAGGGAGAATCTCTAGTTATTTTTCCAGGAGCAACCACAGTGGCTTTGTTGGCAGTCGGCTGCCCTACAATGTGTAAAGGATGAATGGAAGGTGGGGACTAGAGTAAAAAATAGGAGGGTTTTCTTTCAAGTAGTTTGGCCTTGAAGGGGAGGAAAGAGAGTGGCAGTGGAGTGGGGCAAGGACCAGGGGTAACCACTGCTTTTTCCAAGCGAGTGCCCCGTGGTGCGTTCTGCTTTTTCGATGTTACTGAGAGAAAGGGAAGGTCCTCCTGCCTAGAGCTCTGAGGAAGCCCTGCTTTCTTTTGAATTTTAGTGGCCATTTTATGTCAGCTCTTCATTCAAATTTACATGAGAACACGGTGAGGGCCATAACAGCATCCTTACAGGATTGAAAGGTTTCGTCTTATTTCTGATGATACAGAGTCTGTCATCCTTTCTTTCTCCTTCCTCTAACTGCTTCCCTTGAGTGGAGGTAAGGATGTGGTTGCCAATGGGTTAACTTGGGGACAACCACCGAGAGGTGCTTCCTAGAGAGCCCAGGAAGCGGCTTCGATCCCCACTGAGGCTTCCTGTGCCCCAGCCTCAATTTTTCTCCAGCATCTGGAGGGTGTTCTCTCCTCACCGGGACATCCTTTGAGGATACATATTGTGGGATTCAGGGAGGGGTGCAGTGAAGGACGCTGCAAAGGCACAGACTGCAGGGGGCAATCTGTGAAGTTGCGCCCCAGGGGTGCCCTGGGCCCCTGGACACGCGGAAGGGGACCACTTGCAGTTTTACAGACTAACAGTGACTTCCCACCTTTCAAGAATTTTCCAAAGAAATACAGCTCCCAGCTAGAGCGAGGCCCGAGTACTGCCTTGATCCAGGATGGCCAGGGAATCGAAGGAAAGTACAGCCTTGGATGCCCAGTCTGCAGAGGACCAGACGGGGATCTTGATGGTGAAGGTGGAGAAGGAGGAAGCCTCCGCCTTGGCTGCAGAGGCGGGAGCGGCCGGCAGCCCGGCTCCCGGCCCCGAGCACTTGCGCCAGCGCTTCCGAGGCTTCCGCTACCCGGAGGCTGAGGGGCCCCGCGAGGCGCTGAGCCGGCTCCGGGAGCTCTGCCGGCTGTGGCTGCGGCCTGAGATGCACAGCAAGGAGCAGATCCTGGAGCTGCTGGTGCTGGAGCAGTTCCTGACCATCCTGCCTGGGAACCTGCAGAGCTGGGTGCGGGAGCAGCATCCGGAGAGCGGGGAGGAGGTGGTGGTGCTCTTGGAATATTTGGAGAGGCAGTTGGATGAGCCGATGCCGCAGGTTAGAGAGAACAGGTTTAGGATCTGAAAGCTGATCTGTTTCTTTCTGAAATTTCAAGATCGGAGCCAGGGGCATTTCTTTAAGTTCCAGAAATTGTCAGTCTCTTTTTGTACTATAAACCTCTTTGGCAGTAAGTTGAAGTCCTTGGACTCCTTCTCAATAGTATTTTTAAATACAAAAGAACTCAA